CTAGGCAGTGTCCGAAAATGAAAGTGGCTACTTAATTTCCATCAAAAGGAAAAGGCACATCACCGACGAGATACTATTAAAGACCGACAATCTTACGGAGTAGCGTGACCGCTAAGGGGGCCCGGGGATAATTGAAAAACGTTGATATTATCGACTGTTTTGATTGTACTGAGGATAACAAAGGAGGATAACGTTTATTTATTACTGTTATTATGACGGATTTAATTTTAAATTAATAGTTTCTTTTACGAACTATTAATTTAAAATTAAATCCGTCACAACAATAATAATAATAGTCATAATATCAACGTTAATATCAATAACAATAATATCAACGTTCTTCAATTATTCCCGAGCTCCCGGGGCTCCATTAGTGTCGATCCACAATAAGTATTTAATCTTTAAACCATAAGAAATTGACCAATCATAGTCAATTATTCTTTTTATATTCGATTATAATTGATCAATTTCATACTTCTTAAAGCTTAAATCACCTATTGTGGACCGACACTTAATGGTCACGGAAATTTATCCATGGTTGTCGGTCTTTAATAGTATCTCGTCGGTAGGCGTATCCGTATAATACTATATCCGTATAGTACTATACTATAATATCTATAGTCAAAATAAATCATATGATCAAAGTTGATTAGGTCTGTTTTTTTTCGGCTGAACTTTTGCACAGTTCATCTTTCTTCCTTTTCTTTCCATGTTAGAGGGAAAAAGAAAAAAGATAAAAGCCTAGTTTACAATGACATAACATAAGACTATAAGGTTGTAAGGCGTGATTGTAAGAAACTATTTAAATGAATTATTTTCATTTCTTATGCTTAACAATCTTACGTCACAGTATACAGCACAGTTATACTGTGCCATTTATAGAGGCTGGCGCCTAGAATTTTTCCACTGTTCAAGCGCTGTGAGCGGCTAGTGGTCAATCGGGACGTGGTCAAACGGGTGTCACCCCTGAAAATGTGATACTATTATGGATGCGCATCCAATTGTTGCTACAAATACTTTAAAACATTTAATTAGATCAAATAATCAGAATCAATCAAAAATTGCTTTGAAGCGTTTATAGCACCAAGTGAGGCTGCGTTCCGATATTCACTGTCTGTATTGAAAATCTACAATATACATGACCCGAACTATATATTTTCAGTACTAGCAGTGAATATCAGAACATAGCCTGGATCGCACCCTATAGCTAAGAGGAACAGACATATATTTGTTCGCGATGTGTTATGGCGCGCATTATAGCATATTGTAATTTACATTTACATTTGGATTTGTGATTAAAAATTAACTAACGGGAATTGAGTGTGAATTACTTTTTATAAAATTGACAAAATGGGTAAAGAAAACGAAACGGACAATACGAAAAAAAGAAGAAAATCTCTTAATGCAAACAGTGGAACATCGATGAAAGACGGAGACATGTACAAGGTATAAAGGACAAAAATTTTGTTACAATTATTCGTTGCTCTCCATTTTCACATAAGTGAGTCTGAAATTACGTGAGTATTTTATACTTAGATAATGTCACTGTTCAGTGAATTAAAGGGACGCGCATTATAATAAGCAGGTTTATAACTTTACTCTTAATGTGAGTTAACAAGACTCAATAAAGCATACGGTCTTGAGCTTGTGCAGATTGTAGATTAAAACTCAGTTTAATCTCACTTGTCAAAATGAAAAGAAACGTGCATTCAACTGAGATATGACAAATGAGAATTATCTGAGCATATGTGGATAAATGGAAAACAACTGTAATCTTATATGCTATAATCTATATCTAGATTGCAATATATGCATTTGTTTTAAGTTTTGATGAAAATAAATTTTAATTTTAAAAGATATTTTTTTAATATACAATTTTTTTCATGATTCGAAACAATGATTCCTATCTTTCCTCTATTTTTCATGCCTGAAGTATCGAGTATGTTCATTCAAATATTTTTAGATACTTTCAAGTTAAGAATTATATGAAGTTATTAAGGTTATTAAGGAAGTTAATTAAATGTTTGTCATAATTATATATTATAAAGTCAAAAACTACAAAATTAAAAATTAAAATATTTTTTCCACTTTGCTGTTGTAAATTTATTTTTATTTGTATTTCAGATGATAATTAGTTACGAAGAAAAGGAAGCTACCGAGAGATTATCTGAGGACGATTCCGAATGCTTTCTGACGACTTGTGATGACATTCGAGCAGCGATGACCAAAATAGCTAAATTGAAATCCACTGGAGATTCAAACGTTTGTGGCTGAGATTACAGTTTATTATTTATTGTCAAGTTTATCTTTTGTTAAAAAACAAATCTATTATATTTTAGATGAAAGATGAGATACGTGAGCTGCAAATTCAAACATCTCTGGCTTTTATAGAATTAAAGAAGTTAAATCGTATGGAAAAGTTTCGTACAAAATCTGCACGTGATTCTTTAGTGACTGCAAAGAGTAGTGTAGATAGCAGACATCTGCATTTACAAAACTTGCTATACGAAGTGATGCATTTGAAGAAAGAAGTTGTCAAATGTTTACAATTCAAGTAAATCTTTTTATCTTTGTATAAAATTGTAAAATTTTTAAATCTTTTTATTTACCTTCTTCTTAAGTAAACTCTATCTTGTTTTTTAGATCCAAAGATGAATTGATAGAACTTGTTTCAGAAGAAGAATTTTATAAAGAAGCTCCGGAAAATATTTCACGACCTGTATGTATACCACACCTTTTATACAATTATACTTTGTATAAAGTTAAATTCTTTTTCTGCAACAAATATAAAACAGATATGTCATAGGAAATAACAAAAGATAGTCCTCATCAAATGAGATTGGCTCGTTTGGAATGGGAATTGACACAACGAAAGCAATTAGCGGCATTGTGCGACGAATTGACAGAGAGTAAAAAGGCAGTGGCATCCAGTATTGAAACAAAACAAACCCGCTTGGACAATCTTGCGCCACAGCTGCGTTCTATATTAGAAGTAAAATTCTATTTAGAAAATATAAAGTGTTATCTTTAAGCGTTTAAAAATTTAATCGAACTTAATTTTTTTACATTTTTAGGCAAGCAAACCATTACAAGAAAGTCTTGGATTGCCATTAGATAAAATTCGCCAGGAGCATCAAAAGGCGTCATTACTCGCGTCACCGCTCTATGTGTTGTACGCGAAAGTATCTGCTTACAGAGATGCTTATGGTATAATTTTATATATATTATATATTTGTTGTGCACACGTGCATACGCACACGCGCGTGCACGCATGCACGCGCGCACGCATGCACGCACGCACGCATGCATACAAAATTATAGCATGTATATCTGTTATTCTTTTATAAAAGTTCTCCTACATAGATACTATTTTCTTAATATATTTTGCAGATGATACATTGTTGGTCAAGGTGGAGGGCGACGAGGACGAAGCAAAACGCGCAAATAGTCATGATGGTTTGCAAGAATCCGACTCGGATCCTGAGAATCAATCTGAAAATATCATAGAAGAAACACCCGTGCATAAGAAAAGACATCACAGATTATCTCGAGAAGCTAGACAAGAGGAGAAGCGATCCAAGTTATTGCAGCGGCACCCATTGCATGTAAAAGTTGTTATTACATTAAAAAGTAAGTTTTGGATAATAACATTTATAGTTTTAGAAGAAATAAAATATTTAGAGGATATTCAAATTAAATTGAAAAAAAA